TCACTGCTGCGTTTATCTGAGAACGTAAGTGTGTTTGTCCGATAATAGCGTGACCGCGAAATGTGTGCGTTTTGGCCGACACACCCGACTTTTTTTCAGAAATTTGTTGCCTGGGTTAATTGACTCTTTTCAACTCCTTCAGGTGTATTGGGCATATAAGGCTAGAAATATATTTTTTAGACTTATCGGACTCCGGGACTATACATGGTACCAGCTCAAGGCTGGGTCGACCTGGGAGCCAAGGTCATGTTTTTTTTTTAAACAAGTTCGGTCCCGCCGGGATCCTAATCTACGACCCACGATCCACATGCGAGCGTCTAGTCACTACACTACGGCTGCACTCGTTGCCCAGGTTATCTTTCCCAGTAAGAGTGTGCGACAGAAGCCTAGGCCAGCGTTTCTTAAACCCTTTTCACCGCGTCACCCTTGTCGGGTAAACCTACCCGGGTTGAATACTTAGGAAAAGAAGAAAACACCGTGCAAATTTTACGTTTAGTTGTCTTTAATGAGATGAATGAAACTGGATGACGGTCGCTACTTGGACAGCGGCGGCCGCTCAGTCGGAGTTTAGTCCCCTGGCTGCAGTGCAATTACGAAGTGGACAAGGCACGGAACAAAGTCAGTTCAACATGCTCGCTCCGGGCGAGACATGATCAGCTGTAATGCGCCGCTTAATGTACGCGCCTGTGGCCTCAGGACAAGATCAAACCAGCAGCCGTCAGGAGGGCGCTGGTACTTCCGACAGAAGAAGTAGCTCCTGTAAATTGTTGATTTTTTTTTCCGGCGACTATAGTGCCACCTCCGAGGGTATCCCCGCGCCGCGCGGAAGGGGCTAAACTAGATGGCTAGGACTCACGAGCAAATACATTGGAGGAAGCTGCAGGATCTACGGTAGCTGCTGCTCCTGAGTCCTCTCTCAGCAGACTTCGGCTCTTACATATCTATCTTCAGCACTGTATTTATGCTTCAGACTTCTAACGGCCTTCAGCATCTGCATGGCAAGTGGCAGTTCATGATATCATCTCGCTGTTGCTGTCATGTTTATGCACGGTTACCTTCGTTTTCGAGCCTCCAATTGCAATGATCTCCTCGTTGTCTAGTGGGTGTTTATGTGTGTGTCATGAATGTTCTTATCACACACTACGTTAACGTAACTGGTACAAGCCGACACCGACTTAGCCGTACGAAACATTAGTTTATTGGCGTGTTATAACTTACATCTGAGTTCTGTCGTTGTCCTAATGAACAGCTCTCGCACACCACATCACGCAGACTTCACCAAGAAGGTTCCTCATGCATTCACTGACCAGAGTCGGCTCCGATATCTCTGGTTGATCTTTTGGCCATTACTCAGACTGGCCTGGATGATTTTGACTTCATACTTTGTCGTCAGGGTCTCCTTTCGCAACAAGCAATCTCACGTTGACATTCTTACGTTCAGTCACCCTCCTTTCACTCCAACAAGTCGACACAAACTAAACTTGATCAGAATCAAGTCTGAACTTATACCACGGGTTAATTTCACGTGGCAACACATGGTGGTCCTTTACTTCCACGTGACGACCTTCGGTCGCGTCATAGTGTTGCACGTGATAACTCGTGGTCATCACCTATCTCGAAAACCTCGTATAATCCGAATATTTCAGTCTATTGGCTCTCATGATGCCAGTGATCAGTGGTGATTTAAACAGATTATGAATTTCGTTGTTGCTTCTCACTCTCCATTGCCCGCTGTTTGCACCTTTGATGGGTCCAAAGATTCGTCGTGAGACTCTGTTTTTGAAAACCTCCAATAAGAAGGCATCATCTCTTTTAGTTGTGCTCCAAGTTTTAGAGCCATATAAAACGACGGGTGTCATCAACGTTTTATATATTTTGATCTTGGTGTTGCGAGACTAACACTTTGACTTTAGCCGATGTTAAAGGGCATAGTATACTTTATTTCCAGATTGTATTCTAGATTGTATTCATTTTCTCAGCATGTTGGAGCAATTGAAGTTTGCACCCAAGTACTTAAATCTTTCCGTTTGCTTAATTTGTATGTATCGACTTGTGTGTGGCTGGAGTTTATATCTTTTTCCTGTCTTGTTGTTATCAAGCATTCTGTCTTTTCTTAATTGATAACTAGTCCCATTTTCCGAGCTGATTCTTTTAATGGAGTCAATGTTTGAAAGTCTCTAGTTCATTTTCTCCAACGATATCACTCATCTGCATAACCAAGTATTCTTGTAGATTCTCCTATATTACAGACTTGTTTCAATTTCCTTATAATTTTCTTCCGCGCCAAGTTGAAAAACAGTGGGTACAGAGCATCACCTTGCTTTAAACCAGATGTTTTTTTTAAAGAGTCTTGCTTTCTGCCCTTAGGCCTATCAGTTACTGTAGAATAGGTGTCTTCCATACATAGTTTGGAATCTGTCTCTACTAGTCCACAGCTTACACTTGTGTCAGCAGCTACCATAAGCTAGGCTCCATTTATGTAGCACTTTGTCCTACGTTTCTCTGTCTCTACTTAAACAAACGTTCTTGTGTTCTCACTCCGTTTTAGGAAGTGTGGTACTTGGCGATGATGCTGTCTAGAAATTGTATCACATAAACCTAAAAAAAAGTCCATAGTTTGTCTACTCTCTAAAGCTTTTTCTTGATCTACAAACACAATATTCATGCATCATTATTTTCAATGGTTTTCTCACAAACTTGTCTTAGTGTAAATAATGCATCTGTGCAACCTTTTCCTTTCCAGAAACCAAACTGTGATGTACTTAGAATGAGAAATATGGAACTAACCCAATATTTGTACAGAGTAAATGGAAGTTAATGGGTGATGTTGTCAACATCATATTGACCACGTATACTTTCCTAGGACATTTCCTGCTATACATTTTATGGTTGGATGGACTTGAGAGATCTGGCAATTTGTTCTCTATTCTTCATTAGTCTAGATTCAGACCCAAGACAACTAGGCAATCATGCGTCCACTAACTGCCTTTACCTTATTAATATTGTATAATACTGCCAGTGATGGTAGAATGGGGACTTTATAATGAAGAAGCTTGGCAACATAGCCATTTTCACACAATCTGGCTGAACCAGAGCCATCAGTGTTGGCTTTTTTCACACTGGCTGGCATTTTGTTGGTCTGGCTTGTTAGTGAAGAAGACTGTTTTAGCTGTAAAGAAAAATTTGAGCTAAACTGAAAAAAATGTCAAATTCCTAAACTGTTTAGAAGGAAGTACCAAACTAAAAACCACCCCCCCCCCCTCCTTCCTTCAAAGTGGGGCAGCATGGCAGATGCACCAGAACCTAGGGGCTTAGATCCCTTCAGCAACAGAAATTCTTTTTAAATAGTATTTGTTTATAATGATCATATTATTTGAAGAATAGTACTATATTTATTTGCCATTCAGCAGAATAGTAATAGTGATTTACCTTTGTTTTTATCGCTTGTTATATTTCCTTATATTACTATTATATCCCTATGAGTGTAGCACTATGTGTCCTTGCTCCTATTGATTTTACTATTTCCAGAATTTCCTGATTGAAGTCTATAAATCTTACGCCTCTTGAAACATCAGTTCAGATCTAACCACAACCTCAACCACACACCAACACTAAATAATTATTTTTTTTAAACTCACTCCTATTCTCCCTTCTGGCTAACAGTCAATATTCCCACCATGGCTTATGTGTCCAATCTTGATCTAGTTTTACATTTTCTTATGTGTACCACAATCAAGTATGTTTTAAGTATTCTACTAATAATATATAGCTCCTAAGGGAAAAATGTGACCTAAATTGCACCTCTTGTACTACTAATGAATCCCAGTCTACCCTGCTGTGAACATTTTTGTGAGAAAAACGTTTCTTGTATTTATAGACAAAAATGAATCCATAGTAACAAGTCACCTCTGTAAGCAGATTGTGTCTGGCCTAACATTCTTCTCTGATCCTAGAAGGGAAACCTGGAATCTGGTTTTGGTTAATATTTGAGATCATTTCGAAGCATGTCAATCTTCCCATTCCCAAAATCCTGTAACAGGATCTTCACACTCGTTTAGCTGCTGGACTAGTAGAGAACATGGAAACAGTCGGACATAGTGCTACATAAATGGAGCCTAGCTTATGGTAGCTGCTGACACAAGTGTAAGCGATGAACTAGTAGAGACAGAGAAACAGCTGGACATAGTTCTATATAAATGGAGCCAGCTTATGGTAGCTGCTGACACAAGTGTAAGCGATGAACTAGTAGAGACAGAGAAACAGCTGGACATAGTTCTATGTAAATGAAGCCAGCTTATGGTAGCTGCTGACACAAGTGTAAGCGGTGAACTAGTAGAGACAGAGAAACAGTTGGACATAGTGCTATATAAATGGAGCCTAGCGTGTGGTAGCTACTTTCACAGGGATATAAAGTATTTATCTTCATATTCTAGGCTGTTGTATAATGGACTGCTGAGGTCAGCTCTCCTCCTTGCCTCCCTTTCTTCCCAGCTATTTCTAAGAAACATCTAAAACATAGTATGTACCTATGTTATGATACCGGCTCAACCTCTCTGCCACAAAATCCTTAAAAGTGAGTCTGGTTTGACAACAGACAGAACAGCTGCAAAAAGGGAGTGGGCTTTAATAAATAAGACTAACAATATACCTACTCCTACTAGTTGATGTAGACAAGTAATGTGCAGCAGTAATCGGATACTCTGACCAGGCAAAAAAACGACACGTCAACACATCTAAGTGTTTAATATTAAAGTCAATTTGACTACATTTAGAATGCGAAATTATATTTAAACTGAGCAAAATGAGCAAATTTCATGTCATTGTATCAGACAGGTTGGCACTGGCTGCAGCAACAAATAAGACCAGTTTTATCAACATCACAAGTGACTTGTCTCTGTATCTGACCTCTGTCACTAACTCCGATGACAACTGGTTACGTGTGATACGTGCAAGTTCTGCGCTGGTTTCAGCAGTCAATTCTCTGTTTCTGGCAGCATCCATTATAGTCCAATCTTGTCCATCTCTCTAGTCATCTGGCAGATAGCACATGGCTCGCAGCACAAGCTCGTGAAGAAATCTTTGATAATTGACCCCTTTTGGATGAGATATTTCAAGAATAATCTTTCTACATTGATCTCATGACATTCACAGAACAGTTCTGATAGTAATACATAACATAATCAATGGACAAAAACATAGTGTATACATTTGTGCAACACACAAACTGTGCTATCATAAACAGATATCAGTGTCAGCAAGTGAAACTCTGCATATCTTCACTGGCGTGTCCTATATCGACATTAGCACAATTGTCTGCTTAGTGCCATCAAAGATTGGTACTGGCTTTGGCTAAGTAAATGAATCCAATGTCTGTAGTTGAAAGTATTTTTCTGTTTCAATCTTCCTGGTTTGTTTTTGATTTTTTTTTAACATTTCTTTTTTTAATTTCCTTTGAACTCTTTCTTCCATAAATTTGCAGTGGTAAATCTTCTTATTACATAGACACAACATACAAAAACACATACAACACAGACTCACAGATATACACAAGCCAGTCTTAAGAGCACATTAGCCAGTGCTCATCTGGATAGGTACTCATGCTAATCCAAGCTCAGGCCATTATTGAACACTACGGTTTCTGATCATCCACTCTAACATTCCAGTCTCTCACTAACAGTAGCTAGAAGAACTTACACGACCTTTGTTATTTCCCGAATATAATTCTATTATTATACTGAAAGTATTGTTTTTGTTTAATGTTCAAGGCGCGTGTGATATTGTATATATTTAGACATATTTGTTTTTATTATTATCTATGTTAATAAATGATATATTAATGTATATTATATTATTATTTGAGCAAAGACAGTGGTTCTGGAGAAAGCAGTATCCATGAATAAATCCGTTAAATAGTTATTTGACAGATGTTGACTCAATATTGTAAATAATACAAAATGATACGCAACTAGATTTAGTGTACTGTTCATCCCCTTGTGGGATGCAAGTTTTTGTTATTTTGAAGGCCCAACCCTAGCTCTTGCAAGGGGCTGCAAATAGCCCGGCAATAAATATGGTCTAATGGCTGAATGCGGTTTCCGGGACGTCTCCATGGGTGATCTTCATTCACATGGTGGCATTATGTGTCATCTGGTGTTTATCGCTTGTGTGATGTTCTAGTGGGGTAAAGTCTACTACTACTTCTACTACTAATAGATTTCACTAAATATGGATCTATGTTAAATCCAATGGGTCAACAGACTGAGCAGACTGCATTCCCCTGCATCTGAAGCCTCTGCAACATTATTGTAACAAAAAATAAGAGCAGACCACATCAAAAATTTCAGTCAAACAGAACAGCCAGATGCAGAAAGCACTTATAAGAAAAATACAACTGAGATCAATGCTGCCTCTAAAGTCTTTGTGCAACACTTTTTTTGTGATGCACTCATTGCATTGTACTCAAATTTTCTAAATCCACTAAACAGATTCCTTTGAGAAATGTTGAAGCTTAACACAAATGCAAGATTAAAATGAACATTTTTTGCTCCACGAGTTCAGCCATGGTAAATGTGATGAATGCATTGTGCACCAACACACCAAATGACATTTGGTGGATCAGTAACTTCATCATTGCTGAATGAATGATAGGCTACTACCCTATGTGGTAGCCAAGTTACATGAATGTCACGCAAACAGTTCTCTTTCATATTAATTAAGGCTTGCTCTTTTCTAGATAGCCCTCATACATATACATATGTATATGAATATGCTTGTGTATTTCTTGATATATACATAGTGGTATTGAAAGAGAAGTGTGGCAATCATAGACTTACTGCAGTTCCACTATATGACTGGAAGTGGCAGAGACTTACTTTTATTCCAAATAGCGTTCTAATCTTGACACGAAGAGCAAAGGCGGCACAAGGTATCAATGGCAGGAAAGGGGTTTCCCCTAATCTTGTAGCTAGCATATATCGATAAGCAGGCCAGCAGCAGCACATTGTGAGACCTGGGTAGAAGAAAACCACATAAAATCTCTCAGAAGTCATTTAAATGTCACATTATCTCATAGGTAACATATGATATTCTCAACATCATCACTATTATCATAATCATGTGTGGTTTCATTAAGCATTGAGTTATCATGCTTCACCATCTCTCAAGACTGCCAAATATAATGAATCATGTTCCTGTTCCTATCTCTCCCCATTGTATATGGCTAAACCATCCATACAGTATGTGAGGAACACCATTTGTCCATGTCTCATTTCTCCAGTTAGTGTACAGCTTTTATCTGTCTCCAGAAGGATTGCCTTATTTGTTTTCTATCAATAAATCATATCACGTTATCTCATACATGAAATATAATCTCATCTATTAAATGTGGATGATAGTAAACAAGCAAACATTGAAGTTAGTCTATGTGGCTTCACAGAAGTAAATAAATAATAACTTTGACAAGCTAAGACACAAAGACAACACCGTCATAGATATCACAAAGGTAGCTATTTCTCTGGATACATTATGAGAAAAGAAAACTGAAATACCTTGAATCAATTGGAAAGACATAAAATAGGACAGAGAGAAATACAACCAATTGGGTTACTTGATAGTTAGTTGTCATGGAAATTTAATGGGCTCCTTTGGAGACTGCCAGATATGTAGCAGCCCATGGTCATAATTTGCCTCATCACCATGTAGCAATATTTTACAAAGTGCAACTCTCACCATGGCCCATCAGAGAAACATGCAGTGTCCTACCACCTTGCCGCCTTGAGAACTTGCATGACTAATGTGTTCTTGATACCTATGTCCATCATTGTCCTGATCGACCCCTTTCTCTGTCTCTAGGAATCATAGCTTCCACTGCTGATCTCTCCATATTATTATATAATTTAAAATTCCCGAGATATTTCATTTGACTTGAAATGATATTGTTTGTTATCTAGTCCCCTCCCCTTTCTCCAATTTTCAGATTGTGGAGATTGTCAGCATTTCCCCTTTCTTGGTCAGTAATGCTCTTAGAATCTTCTTGCAACATTAAAGTTTTAGAGTTTCATTTTTTTTTTCTTTGTTTAAGTTACTACGAAGTAGGCTACGACTTAGATCCAGATATTACCACAGAACACATGCAGGTTCTGAGAATTATAACCTCAAGCTGCAGTCAACTAGTAACTCTAGGATCATTGTCAAGAACACCCTGATGTATGCAGAAATTGCTTGCCATGTCAAGTGCTAGGGATTTTCTATTTTTAAATAACATACCAAAAGGTACAACATGACTGAGTCACAAATAGTGACACAAACACTGGTAAAATAACAAAATGAACACACTGTGTATTAGCTTTTTTGAAATAGCATGGCTGGCCAAGCGGTTACAACGTCGGGCTCCCATACTGGAGACCTCGGTTCAACCCCTGGTAATATAATGGAGTTTTTCTATCAGAGACAAAATTAAACATCCTAACCTATACAGTCTGTAGCGACAGCACCAGCCAGGCAGCCCTAAATCCTCAGGCTCAACACCCCTCCTCCCACCTCCCTGTCTACGCCCCCCTAAAATCGGTAAAAAGCAGTAGTGACAGTGACAGAACAAGCAAGGATACTAATAAACAAGGAAATTAGCACTCTGATAGGCTTATAGGTAAAGCTGCTGTGGCTGGCAGATGAGTCATGGACCATGCTAATATACTGAATGCTCTATGAGAAGTGAGAAGTTTGCCAGAACCAAGTGATGACTGTGAATCTGCAACCATGACCAGACTGCAAAAACAGCATGTTAAAAGGGGTGTGGCCAGATAAGAGCACTATTCAGGAAGCCAAAAAAAGAATAAGAAACCGACACGGGACTAGTGTCGTCAGCTGCTACACTCTGTGGGATTTACTGAAGAGAGGATCTGAGAACTTGTGGACTAAATCGTTTGATGTGCAATGAGAATAACCTGTCGACTAACTAACCAACTAACTAATTAACTATTAAACATGACATAAAACAATTATAACTGACATGATCTGTTTTCTCCTGAGAACTGACACAGTGGAGTAGACCAGTCTCGCTCACTGTGAGCATCATTAAATGGTGAATGGAAAGACTTCTCTGCCGTTCTCCTTGGGCTGGGTCTCGGTTGGTTGGCTATGACCAAGGACTTGTCTGTGTCATCTAGTGCTGATAGTTCTATTCCAGTGGCGAGGCTGATGTTTGTCATGTCATCTGCACATTCAACAGTAGAAATGGATCCGCGCAACACCAGTTTGCTCTCACTCTCTGTGAAAGAGTCTGGATATAATGCAACGTATAAGCAAACTACCGTATACTGTAAAACAGAACACACTATAATAAGTCTTAGGAAAAGGAATGTTCTAAAGAATTTTTTATAACACTGGCGTACTCAAATGATACCTGTTTTAATGGCTTTTTACAATCGGTAGGCAGGCCAAACAATTTTTAGAGGCCTCAGAGATGTGGTTTTACAGAAGAATGCTTAGAATACCTTTGACAGCCAAAAAGAGCAGCCAAGAGGTTTTGAAAGAGGCGGGAGCCCGAAGACAACTTATCACAGACATCAGAAGGAGACAGTCATCATTTTTCAGCCATGTTATGAGAAGAGGGGAAATAGAACATGCTGTGACCACTGGAAAGATCTGTGGAAAAAGGGATGGAGGAAGACAACGAGAGAAGATGCTTGACAGTCTTGTTGCATGGCATAGAGGTGTGTCAGCACTCGAACTGATACATGCTGCAGGAGATCGCAGATTATGGAGAGGCATGATCGCCCACATTAGTCGGCAAGGACCTGATGATGATGATGATTAATAAAAAACAAATAATACGCAATAAAAAACAACGTGAGACGAAATCTGACAGTTTTGTACGTGGGAGATATAAATATGCCTTCTCATCGTGGATGTTGGACAATACAGCTTATTAGGAAATAATCTTACTTCTCATCCAAACATATGGGAGATACAGTCCGTCTTCTCATGACATTCCCTAATAAGGAGGACTTAGCATGACAGGGTGTTTAGCTTCAAAGTTATTTTTGTCTGCAACAGCACTTTGCTAATGCAGTTTCGACATATGGACGGAAGTCTACGGCTTCGCTGCCTGGGCTACTGAGTTGAGTGTTTAATGCGGCACTGTGAGCTGTGTTTTTCATGTGGAATGCCTTTCATTTGTGCAGCATTTGAGTCGTGGTATTCAATATGGCCCGTAGCCGGTTTTGTGTGTGCTGGTGAAATACCTTATGTATTAATTTTACGTATGTATAGCCAACTTCTGCTGCTACTTTCATCAATGACTACTGTTTCAGCTGGCGACTATTGGCTTTGCCGCCTCGAACTGTCATATGCATTTACTGCTTGAACATATTTTTTAGATTGTTCCTGGATGGACTGTTGTGGGTTTTTTTTTTTTTTAAACCAGTATATATATATATATATATATATATATTAGGGCTGTACCGAATATTCGCTTCGTATTCGCTTCGGGGCCAAATAGTTGACCTAATAACTATTCAGTATTCGGACGAATAGTGGTTACCTTACTTCCGTTTTTGCATACTGTGAGGGACTGAAATAACTGTCTCATTAACACAATAGTTGCTGTTGCCTAAGTCTGTCGTAGCGGGGGAATCTGCGACCCCGTTGCGTGGTACAAACTGCATAAAATGCCAACCGCATTGTGTGTGTGTGTGTGTATGTGCATGTGTGTGTGTGTGTGAGAGAGAGAGAAAAGGAGAGAGGGAGAGGGGGGGGAGAGATATCGTGCATTTTTCTTTCTTTCAGTGTGTCTTCGCCCAAATCAAATTTGAAGATATTGCTAACGAGAATAAGAAGGTGCGCTTAAATTACACCGAACGAACGGCCGAGCAAACGATGATTTTGAAAGAGGCGGAAGCCCGAAGACAACTAATCACAGACATCAGAAGGAGACAGTCGTCATTTTTCAGCCATGTTATGAGAAGAGGGAAAATGGAGTATTTGATGACTGGAAAGATCTGTGAAAGGAGGAACAGAGGAAGACAACGAGAGAAGATTCTTAGTCTTGCTGCATGGCATGGAGGTGTGTTACGAACTAATACATGCTGCAGGAGATAGCAGACTGTGGAGAGGCCTCATCGCCCACGCCGGTTGACAAGGCACCTGATGATGATGATACACTATTCGTATTCGGCCGAATAGTTGGTCCCACTATTCGTATTCGGCCGAAAACTAGAGAAACATCTGGAGAGTAGTGGTTGTTTCGCCTTGACGTCTTTTCGTAGTCGTTTTACACTGTAATAACAAAAGACTACAGGGGTTAGAGAACCGGGGCTCTACCATCAAACAGTAGACCACAATATGGTTGGACCGACTTGATGTCGCTCCTGATTTTCCTAACTTTTTTTTTCCAAGACAAAAGTCACGACATAGACAACTCTATCCGCATTGCCGCCCTGCATTAACAGCTACATCCCTCACCCAAATCCTCACCCAACTTCCCTCCACTTTGACCTCCATATACCCTCTATATTGCCTTCCACAAGCCCTCCACATTGCCCTCCATATGTCCTCCACATTCCTGCCACCGCCACCTTAACAAATAATATGGATAATTAGCGCCCCTCAATCAAGTATATATGTGCTCACACGGAAGTTAATAATAATATGTGTGTGAGAAAGAGAGATAACATATGCTTGGGAATATGTGAGAGGCGCAAGAATATGTAGGAGTTTGTGTGGGTATGGATGCCTGGGTGTATGGATAAATACACCTGGTTGTATGCGTCGACACATTAATGACATCTATGCATACGTACTCATCAAGAAGAAGAAGAAGAAGAGAAGAAGAAGAAGAAGAAGAAGAAGAAGAAGAAGAAAAAGAAGAAGAAGAAGAAGAAGAAGAAGAAGAAGAAGAAGAAGAAGAAGAAGAAGAGGAGGAGGAGGAAGCAGCAGCAGCAGCAGCAGAAGCAGTAGAAAAAAGAAGAAGAAGAAGAAGGAAAGAAAGAAAGAAAGAAGTTAATAACTAAATCAGCAGTCTTGACTAGACTATTAAGATGGCAAGTCAAACGAGAAATAAACCATAAAAGGGCGGGTAATGAAAGGGGGCGGGATATTGGGAAAAAAAGAAAAACAAGCAGAGACAACGTTCTGTAAGCTGATAAACGTTTAGAGCATAAAACATGAAAAATGGATGCCAGCATTTATGGACTGATTCGATATGCAGTCAGAATAATCTGTCCACTAACTAATAATACACTCTGAAGTTAATAATAAATAATATGTGTGTGAGAAAGAGAGATAAATAATTAGACAGAGAGAGAGAGAGAGAGAAAGAGAGAGAGAGAGTGTGTGTGTGTGTGTGTGTGTGTGACTAACTGCGAATGTATTCGTCACTGTCTGATCCGATGTTCAGATTACTTAATGACCGTTGGAAGCTCAGTTTAACCTTACGGCTGAACGAGGCTTAACGGGATTTGAACTTGTATGATCCACATCCGCGAAATGTTAATCCAGCGAACTGCAATCATAAAGCAGACAAATTACAGTGCTGTTCTATTTTCTGTATTTTGTCACAACATAGGATTTTGCTAGATAATATGACCTACAATAAGAATGTTATTTCTGTGAAATTAAAACGCTTGTTTTGCGCGCGTGAGTGCGTGTGTGTGTGTGCGTGTGTGTGTGTGTGTGTGTGTGTGTGTGTGTGTGTGTGTGTGTGTGTGTACAACTGTAGCAATTCTGCCTTCATGTTATTAGCTGTAAAATCGTCTATAATTTTCTGAATAACTGTCTTTTCAGCACCAATCAATTCACCTTTAACTTTCCTTTTTTTTTTTTAAATGTCAATACTGAACTACTTTAGACCTAACTACTGATGGCTTTCTAATGTAAATCTGTGGGACATCAGGAACCTAAGTAAAGACATTTGCCTACTGATAGACCGAACACCTCAAGACAGAAGATTCACCGATAGGAAGCCCAAACAATGGCTATTTATTTCTTCTTCTTCGCGTTCACTGGCCGTAAACTCCAGTGAAAAGTTTTGATTGTTCGTCCACTTCTGGACTGCAGTCGTGTTACAGAACTTGAGTGTTGTGTGTGCATCCGTTTAACAGATTTGACTAATTTATGTGCAATCTGTTGGTTCCTTGCCTCTTAGGCAGATGCACTCCGACTTCGAAGGAAGCTCCCAATTAGTCGACTCCTACGACATGCTTTTGAGTTGGCATTGGGTCTATTCTTGTGTTCCCTACAATAGGGCCCCGGAACCCATACGCGGAGCTGTTAATTTAAATAAACACTTTATGCATTCTCATTATAAATTATAAGTCTTATGGATAATAAAGTATCAGTATCATATAATTTGGATTGCAAATTGCACTGTTTGAAACCTCTAGGAGACAGAGCAGCCAAAAGGAAGAAATGTCATTGAAGAGTTAATTTGTAAAAACAAGTATTTCACTCTGGTCTGATGCAGGAAAGCAAGATGACCCCTGAACTGGGGTAGAGCGCCGAGCAGACCAAAGATGTGTATACTACTTTGTAAACCAAATATGTGTAGCAAACCTATGATTAGTAAGTAAAAAAGTAAAGTTCCCTTTTCACGCCTTTCGTCGCATCGGGCATATGGGCAGAGCGTCCCATATTTTTACAGGCCATCAGCACTCTGTGGGTAATGTGGTCAGCATTACGCCGGCTGTCTTTACTTTCCCAGGACAGCCCATCCTGGTACCCATTTTAGGCTGGGTCGACCTGCCACTTAATAAACTGAGGGTTGATGAACCACTTATTTAAATGATGATTCGCAATCCATTTAATAAGCTAAGAATGGTAGGTACCATACATCTGGGAGAGAGGTGTGGCTTTTCTGCCTTTCCACGGGCGTGAACCCGGACCACAAGGAGTTCGTCTCCCGGTTGCCGCGCAGTCAGGTTTAACCAACTGAGCTAGCGCGCCAGGCAAAATAGACTTGATAAACCGATGATGTACAAGGCGTTTAGCAAACCCATGATGAGAAATATTTTTAGTTAATTAAGGATGGAAAAGCATTTAGTGAACCAAAAATGAGTTTTAACACGTAATCTACTATAAGATATTGCCAGGAGCTGAAGGTGTCGTGGTCACATAGCCGACAAAGTGTTCACTTGCTGGATATATTGTGTTACTTCCAGTAAACCAACCTACTTGACTAATAATTACGAACGGGGTCATCTGGTGTGGTTTAACACTTCGGACACCGCTTTTCACAGAAACGAAATACCAATACCGCGAAATGAGAAACCAGTTGTGCTGCTATGCAGGCACTAGCGTGTTGGTAGATGACTTCAGGCTACTCTTTCACTGCTAGGCAGTGAGTATAGCACTCGGCAGCTAGGTCAGGCAGGCTGGGGCAAATCTCTCTCACTCGCACAACAAACCCAAACTATTTTTAGCCACAGGTAACAAACAGCAAACACAGTCAAGCTGGCTACAGAACACCAGCATCAAGTTGCCGTCTTTATGTCAAGGCGTTAATGCATTTATGAATGCCTGTTGGGTTGTAAGCTGGGTATTCGAATATCTCATCAATTAAGTAAAGTAAGTCAAGAACTTTTTTCCACGCCATCAGGCGTATTGGGTATACAGGGCTAGACTTATATTTTATAAACCAACGGCACAAGATAGGTGATGTGGTGAGCATCCCTCAAGCCGCCTTTACCTCCCAGGACTGCACCCGGTATCATCTCAAGGCTGGGTCGACCTGGCAGCAAAGGTTCTTTTTGACAAAAGTCCGGCTCCGCCATGAAACAAACCCACGACCTTCCGATCCGTAGACGAGCGTCTAGCCACTAGACCACGGCGACTCCCTTCCCTGATCAAGTAAGAGGTTTTAATTAAACTGCACTCCCAGTCTAAATTTTAGACAAGAAAATGTTCTAGGAGTTAAAGGCGACCAATCTGATATAGATTAAATTATTCACAGAGGACCTTCTTGTCGGTAAACATTTGTGACTAGCATCACATATCATGGGAGCTTAAACAGAGTCCATTATCGTGGGCTGGAACAGAGTCCATTATCGTGGGCTGGTACAGTCCATTAGCGTGGGCTAGAACAGAGTCGGTTATCGTGGGCTGGAACCGAGTCCATTATCGTGGGCTAGAACAGAGTCCATTATCGTGCGACATGTATCATAGTATTTAAACTATCGTGTGTTCACGCCTTGAGTTTATGTGTACATGAGTGTGACAGTGTGTGTGAGAGAGAGAGTGTGTGTGTGTATGTGTGTGTGTGTATATATATACTTGTAAGTGTTCTGAGGGATGGGATCATAAATAATCACATATATGATTTGATTTGATTCAAGAACCGACATCACAGCAGTCGGGGCATTCCCATAAGCGCTCCGTCCCCACCTTAAGCAGCCAGAGAAGAGTTCCGATACTAATTGTGTCACACACAGATAGAAATCACGATACAAAAAAGCAACACCGTCTCTAATAAATAGAGAAGGCCGTGTAAAATAGAGAACGATTTTTTCAAATTCCCCGCCATCAGCGCTGGTCTATAGTATTAATATATCATGAAAGAGAATTAGGACAAAATCCCAGAACCTCGTCCAGCCGTCTGACATAGTTGGGGTACCGTGCGGTTAAGAAGCAACCTGACATCTTATGTCGATGGATAGATTCTCAAGAAGATAATGCTAGAAATCTGACAGCGGAGCAGACTATAGTGATTAGTTTGAGAAATGGAATCAGTATTCAGTAAACTGTAACTGAACATGTGACAGATATCTGTCAGGTAATCGATTATGCAAACTGTTTGAAATGTTGTTGCACATGAAAACGAATTTAATGTCTATAACGGTAAATATGTTCAGACCCTGTCGGCAAACACAACTGAATATGTTAGTTGAGGATTTAGTAAATATTTTCAGACCGTGTCGGCAAACACAACTGAATATGTTAGTTGAAGATTTAGTAAAAACCTTCAAAATATATTTCTAGAAACTAAATTCAGTAAGACTTATCAGAGAGGGGGTGGGGGTGGAGGCCAATATATTTTTAAAAAAAAACATTTTATTGAAGACGGGAGCACACATTAATTACTATATTAATATATACTATATTACTGGGAAATCTGATGTTTCTATAATGTTTACTAAAATAGTATATGAGCTGTAAGCTGGCAGTACAGTACACATTTTGTAGAATGCCTCCGATAGGCTCGTTTCTGTTTTATCTGTAGTATGGAGAAAGACGCCTGTTGCTTGTGTAAAAATCGTTTAATTTTACAAAGAGAGAATCGCTTTTTGCATTCTACATCTAAGCAACAACAAAGAACGTAAAACACATCGTACTTTCCCTGGTTTTTATATATATAAAAATATATATGAAATATATATATATATATATATATATATATATATATATATATATATATATATATATATATATATATATATATATTAGCAATATAAAAAATTGTAGCTTTGGCCAAAACAGAACATACCAGTCAAGCGGACATCCTCTTCCTCCATGTCGACCTCTCACGTAGGTGCTGCCTGCACCAGATGAGCTCACTCGGGTGGAATTCTTCAAGTCTAAGTGAGTTTTCCAAATCGCGGTGACTAATTGAAAGTACAGTTTCCGGACAGCCTAGGTTTTCCCACTCGGTGCTCTCTTAATGCCCTCTGAACTCTACGCGAATACTAGTAAACCCATGGCCAACACACTGTATACATACAGATTGCACTAACACACTATTCTCACACGCATACACACACCCCTCACACGTGTCGGAAGCACTGAGGAAACTGCAAAATTTCCACGGGATGTTTATTGTACACACTTGTGTGCTTATAGACTGGGCTGGTGGGAACACGGGAGTGCTAATAATCTCTGTCGATTTACCTCACTGCACTTGTTGACTGTCTACACATGCACACCCAAACGGACAAGTGAACATAACTCAGAAACAACATTCACAACGATGTGTGTATCTGTAGCTACCCAGGAATCACTGGCCGACTACCAGTGCTGTCTGTGACTACCAGTATTGAAACACAATACTCGGTCTGCGCTTGAGTCAATGAGTGTTTGGTTTGTCGTCAAATAGTTTAGATACGGACTCACACACATCAGGAGACCTGGGCAAATCGTTTTGTTTATTACTTAATATGTGTGTGTGTGTGTGAAATGCTACATTACGTGAGAGAGAGAGAGAGAGAGAGAGAGAGAGAGAGAGAGAGTAAACAATAAGCGATGACCAGTTCAGCTGGTCATTGATCCCCATCAGGATCGGTATTCGTAGGATTAACTGCTCAGTTATGATAACCAAAAAGGAGCAAATCCCAGAAACAAATGTTCAACCATATAACACAGTTATACTAGGGCAGCCCCCCTGGTACGCAGCAGCTTGTAGTCCAATGTGAAATAATCAAGGACTAGTAAAAGATAGTGACACCGACCGTTGACGGACAAGAACATCAGCGACGGTGCTGATGTATTTGCTGCTTGGATGCAAAGCCACATATGCATTGTAGACTAGGGTTAACCAAGTATGATCTGCTCCCCATTAATTAAGGCGCAGTAACTAAGCATTGGCTATTGTCCCTTTGCTAGGGCATAGTTACCAGGTATTATCCGTTGTACATAAACCATGTGCCAGTCACCGATAAAGTTGAGGAGACTAAAAATGACTCCAAAATATACCAAACTAGATTTGGCAATGCTGGAATCAAATCAAGAAATGAGTGAGAGATGCATCATTACTGTTTAAGATAGATACAATGCTACTCAAAAGATAAGCAGTATAGATGAACAATGTCAAATACTAGAAGAGTCCAGACAACCCTCCTCCACCTCCCCCCCCTCCCATTTTTTGTGTGTGCAGAAATAAAGAAGACGAAGAAAAAGAAAAGGATGACCAAGGAAATTTTACATCTAATATAAATTAGAAGAAAGATAAACACAACCAAGATTAATACAAACGAATACAAAGAGAGATCTACGTAGATGTAATGCAGCGAAAGAGGTTTGGCTGAATAATAGGTGCAAATAAATTGAAGAACAAAGATAGAACACACAAGACATGTATAAAAGAATAGAAGAACTATAAGGTTTTAGAAATATACAGCAAGTGGTTGCTGGCAACAAATGAAGGTGAAATATTATTGGACAAGGAAGGGGTAATTGAAAGATTATATAAAAGAGTTAAGCAATGATAACAGCAGACCAGACATAGAAAGTCAGTAGTATTGGGAAGGGCGGCCAGTACTGAAAGAGGAAGTAGATGATAATATAAACCATATACTGAAATGTAAATCTCCAGGCCAGAAAACATCACGATTGAAGAATTGAAAGCTGCTGGTGAACTGGTTTTATAAGTTTTGACAACATTGCTAAATGATATTTATAATAGTGGACCTGTACCTAATGACTTTTTGAAATCTTTGTACATAGGTTTACCAAAAAACTTGTTGCAGTGCAATGTGAAGAACATGGAACAATGAGTTTAGTGGGTCATGCCATAAAAATATAAATGAGAATTGTCATGTGAAGAATAAAGTGTAAAATTAAACCAGAAATTGGAGATGAGCAGTAGGGTTTTGTGGAAGGTCAAGGCACAAGCAACGTCATGTTTTTCTCGAGAACACTTTCAGAAAAAAATGAACAGAGATCTGTATGTGTGCTTTATTCATTACATTAAAGGGTCATAGTTTGAACGGCGCAAAAACATAAGTAATGGTAATATAATTACAAAGAAATCTGACCCTCCATAATGGAACATCAAAGTAAATGGGTCAAACCTCAAGCAAGTGGATGTGTTTAAATACTTGGGTACCCTGATAACATCAGATGTAAGAAGCATTAAAGAAGTTAATTTAAAATAGCTCAAGCAAAGGCAGCATTTTACAAAATGAAGAATATTTTATGTAATCTTTCTTCGTCAATTGAGACGAGAAAAAAGAATTATTAAAAGCTACATAAATCCTATCTCGCTATACGGAGTGAATCATGGACAGTTGGTAGATTAGTGAAAAATTATTTGGAAGCTGTGGAGATATGTTTTAATAGACTAATAATGAGAATACCTTGAACAGATTTTTTAAAAAGTAATGAGGCTGTCAAGAGAAACTGACTCATGAAGAGAACTGATTGCCCACATCAGAAAGATACAATTTACATTCTTTGGTCATGTGATGAGAAGGAGAAAACTGGAGTACCTCGTGGCAGTTGGAAAGTTGGAGGGGAGGAAAGATAGGTGGAGACCGAGGGAACAGTTTGATGGGCAGTTTGACATTATTTCACGGAGGATCGTCTGTGAAACAGTTTATTGAAAGTACACGAGACAGAATGTTGTTTATATGCATGACTACCAACACCATGCGGCATGGACTTTAAGAAGAAGTAACCAAGTATTGGTCGGCTCTGTAACTAAGTCGATGCGAACGCTTCGTAATGCCGGGATGCCGGGTTCGATCCCAGCTGCGGGTCATGCGCCTTGCGTTGGTTTCGACAGAAAGCAATGGCAAACTATTGGACGTTGGTTCTGCAACGTCCTGTAAAGGATACGCAACTAACCTAACCAAGTATTGGCTGAGTTCTGTCCCTTAGTTGGGGCTTAGTAATAAAGTGTTATCTGTTGCCCATTAACTAAGGCCTAGCTACCAAGTATTGGCTGTCGCCCCTTATCTAAGGCCTAGTAACCTAGTATTGGTTGTAACTGCTTTAAGTTATCTAGTTTCGTCCTTTATAGGACGAAATATTTTTTGTCATTTGAAGCCCCACCCTGGTTTTGCCAGGGGCCGCAATATAGGCAGGCCATTAATATGGCCAATTGTCTGAACGCGGTTTCTGGGACCTCTCCACGGCGATCCTCATCCACATGGTGGCACTTTGTGTCATCGGGTGTTTATCGCTTGTGTGATGTCCTGGTGGGGTAGAAAGCCAAGCCAAGCCAAGTATTGGATGTTGTCCCTTATTTAGGGCCTAGTAACCATAGCTGGCTGCTTCTGCTACTTTCTTGGGATCTAGCAACTAAGTTATAGCTGCCTCGTTCACTGGCCATGCCGCCGTGTGACGTCCCTAACTTAACCTGTACACCTAACGCCACTAAATAATATAGCTCATGAAACTTTAAAGTTACAGTCGATGTTTAAAAAAAAAAGTCTTCTTCTCCTTCTTCTTCACAAGATATGTTTTTCTTTAACCGGGCTGGGAAATTTTATGACCAAACATCCATTGAAGCAAAGACATCTGCGCTGGCTAGGACATGTCTCCTGCCACGACCTTCTCTATTTATAGGCCAACTTGGTCAACTGGAATTCTTGTTCTTGTGCAAGTAAGTAGTACCTCTGTGTTCACAGTTTTTATCCAGGAGATGAACATACAAATTAAACATGAACATCAATAACGAGTAGGTATAAACTGGAAGTTATTCCAGCAAAAATAAAGAAATATTAGTGCAAATACTTTGATTCTGAGAGGGTATTGCATTAGAGGACCGGGGGGGGGGAGGGTGGGTGACATTTGTACTTTATCAAATTTAGCACATGAAAATACTGCTGTGAAACATATACATATCATAGATAACATAAATATAAATGACTGATGGGTATTATTACTATTAGTAGACTACTACAACAAATAATTATACTGTTATTTTATAATTAGAAAACAAGCACAGTCAATATGAAATTGATATGTGCAAAACAATTTCACACAGAGCAGTTTTCTTAACAGTACTAAATATGTATCATCAAGGTGCAAACAGCACAAACAAATTTATCCGGTTTCATCTTGTTGGATGGAATCAGTTACTTATCACTGTGAATTTTTTGGCAACTGTTAAAAAATACATCACAAATATTTCTTAATACTGCAAGTAGCAACGCGTATAGGTATCATGAATAGTATATTATTTTAAAGGTAAGTGGAGCACATTAAAACAGACCATATAACTGCAAATGCTGTGCAACATACACATATCAAACTTAAAAATTCCCCATATAGATACCGGGTCTCGCTGTTCAAAACAGTGTCTGGAACAAAATTAAAGCCCGGAAGTAGATAAACAACCAGAAGTTTATGCCAGAGTTTACAGCCAGTGATCGCGAAGCAGAAGATGATTCACAAAAATGAACATAGACCATACAACTGCAGATATGCATAAGAAGTAGATAAACAACCAAAGGTTTTTGCCAGAGTTTACAGCCAGTGATCGCAAAGCAGAAGATGATTCACAAAAATTAACACAGACCGTACAACTGCAAATATGCATAAGAAGTAGCTGAACAGCCAGAAGTGTCTGCCAGAGTTTACAACCAGTGATCGCGAAGCAGAAGATGTTTCACAAAAATGAACACAAATGGTTGAGGATTGTAAGCACGTTAAAATGTCACACAATGTAACACATGAAAACGGCTTGCAATAACCAATTTTCGAGGGGACTTCGCCAGAATGTCACTTGATTTAGTCAGAAGGACCTATATATAAAAGGACCTGCTCCCGCAAGGAGGATTGTCGTATTCCAAAGGACCTCCTGCATGGTGAACTGGACACAGGGAAAGGATCTACAGAAAGGTCAAAGCTATGTTATAAAAACATGCAAACGTGACCTGATAGATACCAACATAGGCACAGCGACCTAAGAAAAATCAGCTGCAGATCGACTACTGTGGCGAGAGAAAGTGAAAAAAAAGGATTGTGGCAATCTGAAAGAAACGTAACACTACGAGCTATAGAGAGGAGACGCCAGAGGGTAAATCAGCCTCATAGCTTGGGAGTATCTACTTGTGTGTGTGTGTGCACCCTTTGTGACAGAGACTGCCGCTCCTGCTTCAGACGTGACAGTCACAACAGATGATGTTCCTAGATCCAGCGGAACATCTCCATAGTCCTGTGGGACTGACGGATGTCATTTTTATTATCATTTTTATTTTATTACTAGCTGTACCCAGCCACGCGTTGTTGTGGCATAGTTTGGCTTAATTGAAAAGAAAGAAAATGGAAATCTTGCTTCGATAAATCTGGCCTTGCACTTTGAATGTTGGCTTGTAATTCTCGCGAACAATATTTTTTGCACCGAATGACGTCATCTGGAAACATGAATTGTATTTGCGAATGTTTGCTAAGAAATGCTTCGACTGGCCTGTGTCACCTGCTACCAATGATGATAATGGTTCGGGTGGTGAATGTAATACTGGCAATTAAACTTTTCCACCCGCGCAGCACATTCCAGGTGTTTCATTCGTAAATCTGAAGGCACTGCAATGTACGCACAATGTATCTATTTTGCCAATAAGCACCTGTGGATGAAGACTGTAATCATAATCGCTGTTGTAATGGAATGCACTAAGATTCAAATCAATATGCGGTGTTCGCCTGGATAAAGTAGTGCGCATTCAAAAGGTCCCCAGTCTTGCTTTCCGTTGCTTGATTGTTTCTGATAAACGGACTTGAGCAGTGCGTACTCTATTGGTTTCCAGTCTTGATTCTTGTTGCTCGTCTGACTGAGACGATCTAGCTTCAGCTTCAGTTTTAGGTATAGATGGGCCAATTGCTTGTCGTTTGGGAGGCATAACTGCACATTTTGACAAAATGGTGAACAGCGTATGAATTTAGTGAGCGTTGATCGTCAATAGCTTGTTCGTCCTCGGGCACTGAATGAAATGTGACTTGAAGTATCGCTGAAATAAATGAAAATATGAGCATGAGATAACAATCTATTTTGACTCAAGAGGAAATGCACAGAAACTGCGCAGCAACTATGCTGAAAAGCCGGTAAACGATATAAATAGGTAGGTGTCCAGTGCCCAGCTTAAATAAATGAAAATATGAGCATGAGATAACAATCTATTTCAACTCAAGAGGAAATGCATAGAAACTGTGCAGTAAATATTAGGAGAAGTTGGTAAACCATATGAATAGGTGTCCAGTGTAGCAGTAAGATTTGTGGTATATATGTCTTGCGACTGAAATAATCAACTTAACTACAGACTACCTGCAGTTGACCTGCGACGGAATTTCACGTAAATGTATATAATACATTTGAATAATAGGAGAAAGCTAAACGAAATTGTGTAGACAGGTAAACTGTAGCAGTCGTTTGGGGTGCATAACTGCAAATGTTTGACAAAATATTGAACAGCGTGTGAATTTAGGAAGCGTTGATCGTCAATAGCTTGTTCATCCCCACGCACTGAATGAAATGTGACTTGAAGTATCGCTGGAAAAAAAAATGAAAATATGAGCATGGGAAAACATTCTATTTCTACTCAAGAGGAAATGAATAGAAACTGCGCAGCAAATATTCTGAAAAGCCAGTAAACGATATGAATAGGTAGGTGTCCAGTGCCCAGCTTAAATAAATGAAAATATGAGCATGAGATAACATTCTGTTTCGACTCAAGAGGAAATGCATAGAAACTGTGCAGCAAATATTAAGAAAAGTTGGTAAACAATATGAATAGGTGTCCAGTGTAGCAGTAAGATTTGTGATATATATGTCTTGCGACTGAAATAATCGCACTCGAATGGTTTCCAGGCTTACCTCATGTTGCTCATCTGTTTCTAAAGGAATTAATGCCCTTCTCTTGCGTGCTCTAGGTGTAGATAGGCTTGTCGTTTGGGAGACATAACTGCAAATGTTTGACAAGATAGTGAACAGTGTGTGAATTTAGAGAGCGTTGATCGTCAATAGCTTGTTCATCCCCACGCACTGAATGAAATGTGACTTGAAGTATCGCTGGGGAAAAAAATGAAAATATGAGCATGAGATAACATTCTATTTTGACTCAAGAGGAAATTCACAGGAACTGCGCAGAAAATATTCTGAAAAGCCAGTAAACGATATGAATAGGCAGGTGTTCAGTGCCCAGCTTAAATAAATGAAAATATGAGCATGAGATAACAATCTATTTTATAACTCATTAATAAGTGTCCTGTGTAGCAGTAAGATTTGTGGTATATATGTCTTGCGACTGAAATAATCGACTTAACTACATTGTACAGACTACCTGCAGTTGACCTGCGACGGAATTTCATGTAAATGTAGATAATTCTTTTGAATAACAGAAGAAAGCCAACCGAAATTGTGTAGACATGTAAACATGTAACAATCATAATAGTTCGCTAGACAGTATGAGAAAGCCAACAGATAATGTGTATACATTTATTATTGCGTGATTTTAGGAGTGGTCCACGCATGTTTGAAGTTGACCAAAAAAAAAAAAAATGTACATACTAACTGATGGTAGTGAAGTAAATGCGCTTACCTTTTGAGATATTTCTAGATTCCGCAGTCAATTGTCTTCCTTGTCGCGGACGGATGTTGACGATGGGGCGTCACTACTGCACATGCACGATTAAAGTCGATCGTCGTGCGCATTTACTAACGTGGCTATAATTAAATGTCACTAAAAATGGAAATATTAGTTTCGAAGATTTTTCCAACAATTGTCGCACACTATCTCTAACAATGACAGGTAGAATTTCAAACCATGATGGGTAAACATCCGTTATCCAAAAAAAAAAAAAAAACATATCCTAAAAATTTCAGCTAAATCAGTTCAGTAGTTGCCGAGTCTATAGGCCATAAACAAACACACACACACATTGATTTTTATATATTTATTATTATTATTATCGTACAATTGACGTCGGTCTTCCTTCGGTAACACTTACTGGATCCAGTGTACAACGCCAAACTTTAAAATATTGATGCAGAATTTCTGAAAGGTATCAACAAAACATCGGGCCTTTTACCAGAAGTACAGTTTTGCCAGGCAAGGGTAAAATAGTACCACATTTGTATGAAAGTACCAACTTCGGCAGCCCTGGCCCTGTTGTGTCGCACGCGGGAACAAGGAGACAAGGCGTTCGCCGCCACGGGCTCAGTCAAGCCAGGCTGGACAGTCATCGGTGCACGGGACGTAACTGACATTAACATTTCTCCTCTTTGTTACCTCCGGCACTTAGGGTTTGTTTCTGGAGTTAGTAATTATATCGTCATATTATGCCTGGAAAAATTACTGTTTACATTAGTAATCTTGCCTCAAATGTGGAGGTAAGTAATGACTAATGAGTAATGTGGTATGTCTACTTTAGGCTATTTATGCAATAAAAAAATGACTTAATGATGCACTAAATTAATAATTCACTTGCGTTTAGTGAATTAGTCGGTTTAGTGTATTAAATTTGTATAAGTCTTTACTTTGGCTACCACTTCTTTCTTTTAATCACAGACCTTTTCATGGCCGGGTATGTTACCACTATCTTGTCATCCCCTTGTGGGATGCAATTTTTAGTAATTTTGAAACCCCACCCTGGCTTTTGCTGGAGGCCGTAAATATAGCATGGCCTAAAATATAGCCTAACGGCTGAAAGGCGTTACCTCCACGGGTGATCCTCATCCGCGTGGTGGTACTTTGTGTCACCGGTTGTTTATCGTTGTGTGTGATGTCCTGGTGGGGTACAAGTACAACTTACATACAAAGATACTAATGGCTGGTGTTGATTTCTTAAATCGATGATCACGTTATAAATTTGCCGCATTCTTATTTTATTATTATTTTATTAATATGTCCTCATTTATAATTCTTGAATGCTAATGAATAAGACAAAATGACTTAACTACGCAGCGCTACCATAAGTATGTGATAATGATGTATTATATGAAGACCAGCTAACCGCCTCCCACTTGTTTCATTGTCTACCTCCTACTCTCCTCTCTTGTCTTCGCATTTTCCTTGCAATATGATTTTGACAAGAAGTGACATTGATACCATTGCATAAGGTGTTACAACTTGAGGTCCCAGTCTCTTCTTCACTGGCATAATTTGTTCCTCTGAAATTAAAAAAACCACATTGGGGAAAAAGGGGGGGGGGGCATTTGGCCTGATGTGTAGAACTAGTTTTAGCATCAGATTCTAATTCTGGATAATTAATCAGTTTTTAGAAAAATATCCACTGAAATCATTGAAATATGCATTATACATTTCATCAGCCAAAATGAGTCATTGAAATGTCTGAAGAAGATTGTTTATACAATTAGGAAAAAGCAGTCATTATTTCTGGCCACATAATAAGAAGAGAACAACTGGTACTGTTGTGACACATACATTTATTTTGGAAAAAAAATAAGAAAAACTTTTTTTCATGGCATAGAAAAGTGTACACACAAATTGATACAAGTTGTTGGAAGTCACATATGTATGTGATTTACCTCTGAGCCAGTTGTCAAGGCACTTGATGATGATATTAAACAACAAGCAGTTATGAGAACGGCCAGTGAAGCATTAAACTGGTTTGAGATCACAAACAGGTAGACCTATTTAACAGAGAAGAAATGTAATGAGACTTCAAATTATGAGATCTATAACAGATTTGGTCCACTCATATTTGTCAGAAAACCACTTTCAGAATTCAGATGGGCGGATGACACTACCCTCCTCTCAAACAGTGCAAATGGATTACAGTAGTTAATCTTTCCTACCAAGAGACAACAAAGATAAGAAAATGTTTCTGAACCTAAGAAAACAAAAAAATAGTGTCCACAGTTATCTAATTTACCAGCAAACCACTGGCCAGACTTGTACCGTTTGTCTGAACCGCATTAGTCCCACAAACAGTTGTTATTTTTTTTTTTTTTTACAGACCATTCAGCACCTAATGAGTGATGTGGTCACAATTACACCAGCCTCTTTTATTTCCTAGTACATTTCCTGGTGCTAATGTTGGGCGGGTAAACATGGGTGCTGTTTCGTAATTTATCTTTCTTGTGCGTAAGCGGTTGATTACACCACTGCCGGCTTGCTAGGCCTTCCGAATATGATTAACTTTGAGTCCCAGAGGGTTTAACATCACAGGCCCAAGAGGTAGTCAAGAGAGACGTAAAATCGGTACATCATGCGTTCAATGGGCTTCTAGGCAGTAACGTATGATGCGTTCCTTGGGACTCAAAGAGTTAATAGCATCTTCATCCATGCTTTATGCTGGAGGTGCCAAACATTGACAATAAATGTGGCACTGGAACAGAACATAAAAACCTGTGAAATGTGCTGTCTCCGCAAGGTCACTAACAACACAAAAATGGACAGGGCTATGAATACCAGCACTAGACAGAAGGTCTGAATTTTATTGACAGACAAAGAATGAAATGTTTCAGCCATCTAGTGAGAGCGCAGCCGGACCAAACTACATATGATGTTTGATACAGCAGAACATCTGGAAAGAGAACAAGGCACAGTTCAAGAAAGAGGTGAATAAATGTCAGAGCTGAAAACCTGCAAACAGATGCAGAAAACCATCACCTAGGCCAAGACAGATTTAGGAAACCATGACACTGGGCTACAACCTGGTATCAGTGAAATGATAAAAGAAAAAGAAGAAGCCTGGCTGCTGAGGTCAGTTATAAAACATCTGCTTTGATGATGATTTTAACCCGAGATTTTAGGGCAGATATGGCAAGCATCTAGCCACTGCACTAGAGTGACTCTCACAAATTTGTTAAATTCAAAGTAAATTCCAGATTGGACAGCAGAAACAGTTTTCATTAGAGAATGTCTCTAACATTTCATAATTGAGGAATAATGATATAGAGAATGGCATAGAATGCTATAAATCCTGGCATGGAGAGGCATAGACACATGACCTGGTAACTGGCATTACAGAATATGAATGGTGGGAGGACATACCTGCCCTTGTCTGTGACAGTGCTCATGATAACATAGTGTTATCAGAAAGAAAGAGTGTTTTGTAAGGGGTCTAGAAGAGTCTGTTACCTCAAATATTCAGCACTGCTTCTGTACCCACCTCACATAAATGCTAAAGAAAGCACACAGATTTATGAGATATATGTTGCATAATGACATCTTACTACTGAAAACACATCTTTCTTTACAAAACTGCCTGTTTTTTTTTTTTGTTTTTTTTTTTTCATTTTCCATTTATGGGAGTTATATGAGTATATTGCTAACTGATGAACATATTCACTCTGATACTAACTTTGAAGTAATAATTCATTGTTACCCCTTTAAAAAGTGAAAACAAGGGTTTTAGTTTAAACAGGAGAAAAACATAAGTAATGGTAATTACAAAGAAATCTTACCCTCCAAAATGCAACATAAAAGTAAATGGGACAACCCTCAAGCAAGTTGATATGTTCAAGTGCTTGAGGTCCCTGATAACATCAGATGGAAGATATATTAAGGAAGTTAACTGTCCAATAGCTCAAGCAAAGGCAGCATATTACAAAATAAAGAATATTTTATGCAATCTTATTTCATCATCTGAGATGAGAAAGAGAATTCTTAAAAGCTGTGTAAATCCTATATTGATATACGATTTTGATTCATGGACAGTTAGTAAATAAGTGAAAACTTTTTTGGAAGCTACAGAGTTGTGGTTTTACAGATGACTGATGAGAATACCCTGGACAGATAACAAGAGTAATGAAGACATCTTGAAAGAAACTGACTCATGAAGAGAACTGATTAACCACATCAGAAAAAGACAATCTACATTCTTTGATCATGTGATGAGAAAGAAACAAACTGGAGTACATCGTGATGATAGGAAAGTTGGAGGGAAGGAGAGGCAGAGGAAGACCAAGAGAAAAGATATGCTGGACAGTTTGACATCATGGTATGGAAGATCATCTGTGTCAGAGTTGACTGAAAGTACACGAGACAGAAGGTTGTGGATAGACATGACTACCAATGCCACACAGCATGAAATCTAAGAAGAAGAAGAAGACCTCTTTAAAAAAATGTTTGTAAATATGACTTGAGGCAGGAAGTTACTTGGCCTGTGTAACATGCTGGCTTCCATGGAAGCGGGACGGAATGCAATGACCTCAGCCTCTAATGTGTTATCATGAGTTATCATTTAACTTTCAATAATTTCCAATATTCGTTATGCATCCACAGACCCGGAAACAACAGATGAGAATTCAGGATGTGCTCTCAGGATGTAAGATTGACTATGATGTTGTGGATGTGTCAGCCAGCAGAGACAACTTGGCCAGGATGAGAGAGATTGTGGGTGATCCTAAAGCTCTAGCACCTCAGATTGCGAATGATGACGAATACTGCGGGGTGAGGCAACCATTGTTCATGCCAGCATTGATTTACATGTTATAGTTCATTGCAGAAAATCTGATACATTCTTATGAAATTCAAGGTTAGTTAGATTTGTGTTTGCCTTCAAGATCCTCTACAGCAGGACTATTCAGCTAAACTTACCCAGGGGCCATAATTTTGAAAATAAGGACTGTCGTGGAAGCCTCAGCATAGAAAGATAATGAGTTGGGTTGAGTTGAGTCGAGAATTTACATCACAGCACTCAGGGCATTCCCATGCATGCTCCGTCCTCATCTTCAGCAGCCAGCGCAGAGTTCCAATACTGATGGTACCGGTCTCAGTCTGGTTATACATCCTTCTTGCCTTTCCTCTGAATGTAGTGAGCCGGCCAGACCCTCTGGTTACACCCAGGTGCCTCATTTTCTCCAGGCCATAATAATCTTCTTTCTTTACTGAGAGAAAGTTAATGAATACACCAGAACTGGCAATAATCTGCAGTCCACTTGCTAGGCCTCTACAGGCCACATTTGTCCCAGGGGCCGCCAGTTGAATATCCCTGCTCTGTATATATGCTTCTCTGAAAGTCAAGTAGTCAAGCACCTTTTTCACTCCATTGCTATATTGGGCATATAGTGCTAGACTCATTTTCTACAAGAACAATCAGCACTCAGTGGCTTAGCATCACACTATGAGTTGACCTGGAAGCAAATACATTTTATTAAAATGTAAAGGTTTCTTTGACACTTGTGCTTGTTCAGATTACTGTGAGCATTTATTTGCTTTTTTTTTCTTGTTTTCCTTACACTCATGCTTCCATAGCTGATTAGCTTGTCACTCGCACAAAACACAGAAGAACATACAAGTTTCTATGTAGACACTTTTTGGTAGTTGAGAAGTAGCTAGTGCCAGCAGCAAGTATCTTTGCCATAATTGTTTGTTATGAAAAAAAAAAAACTAAAATAATGACTAATAAACTACAAACATTCATCAGATTTGCTGTTCAGGATGAAATTGAATAATTTGTCAGAATCAAGAAGTAAATCATGTGATAGCTGCACCCTGAGAAAACCTTATAACAGTATAAATAGAATGCAGTCAGAACCCACAGGGTGAAACCAAAACAAAAAGTACCATAGTAAAACCTAAAAAAAAACACACATTGAGAAGAGAACTAATGTTTTGGGTGAAAGAGATGGGAAGAACATGAAGTGAGCTGCCTGAAATGGAAAAGGGTAGGATGACTTTGCACAAGTTCGTTAAGGACTTAGCTCCATTGACAGCAGGGATAATGGGCATCTACTACCCAGTCATCTTCTTCTTAAAGTCACCAATACACTCTCCCTATGAATCTGTATAACAATAGGTCCCTATCTCAAGGGCAGTAATAATGTAGATGGTGCATCTATGCTTCTCCAGGGTGAGTTTAACACCAGTAATTTCAGCCTTCTGACCAGTATAAATTCTACATTCTCATATAAAATAAAGCTTTTTAGAATTAATTTAAGCCATGTCTACACCTAGATTATTATGTCTTTCACCGTTGAGCATCTTGACACTCACAGACGGCTTAGCTAAGCCTGATTGTAACATCAGCATGCAGACTTAAGGTACATATTTGTTTTTTAATGACAATATATGAATGTGATTAATAGACCATTTCACAGTTGCTAAAAAACAAAATGTGGACTTATGAATTTAAATGTTGCATAAAAATTGTAAGAATAATTTTAATCAAGCAGGAGAAAAACAGTGAAATTTTACAAGATCTAAGCATTAACAAAATTGCTTTTACACAGCACAGGTCTTGGAAACCTAAATTTTAGCCATTTTAAATGTTTCAGTTGTTTAGAAAGAACAGTAATTTAGGACAGCTTCTGGGAAGAAGTACCAGTAGTCAGACAGCTCAGAGAGTTTAGTTGAGCTGATTCAAAAACCGACATCACAGTACTCGGGGCATTCCAATAAGCACTCCTTCCCCATCTTCAGCAGCCAGCGAAGAGTTCCGATATTAATGGTGCCAGTAGCACTCTGATTAAGTGTCCGTCTTGTCTTTCCTCTGAGCCTCAAGCGTCTGCCAGAACCTCTCCTAACTCCCCCTCTCCCCACCCACTCCCCCCTGCATACAGCTTAGATATAGACATAGGATATGTCTGGGGACACACAATATGCAGGGGGAATTTCCAAAAGAGACTGAGAAGCTTTCCAGCTAACCATGATGGGAATGATGTTCTGCCACATAAAAATGATTGCCTTTTTGTGTCATAGCTGATATCATCATCAGTCAGCAAGTCCTTTGCAGAATGTCGCTCTCTTCACGGCACACCTGAAAGTATCCCTTTCCCTAGCCAGCTCTCCGGTTCCATGTGATTTCAATGCCAATGCTTCTTCAATGTCCTGTATCCATCTTTGCAGTGGTAGACCCCTGCCTCACCTTCCACAAACTGAACCTTCCATCGCTGTCTTTTCCAAGCCACCATGATGTTTGATGTAACCAAAATACTTCAACCTTTGGGACAGGATGCTGTTTATGAGCCAGTTCTCCCTGATTTTCAACTCATTCAGAATGTCGAAATTTTTCCTCTTCCTGATCCATGGTATTCTAAGAATTTTTCTATAACATTTCAATTCAAAAGCTCCAGTCTTTTTCCTGAATGACTGAGTGAGAGTCCAAGACTCACAGCCGTAAGCTGCCACAGGAAAACTACATGATCTCAAGATTTTTACTTTAACCAATCTACTAGTGCTTTGCCCTAGTTTCTTCATGCTATTTAATCTCTGCATTGCTAATGCAAGTCTGCTGATATATATATATATATATATATATATATATATATATATATATATATATATATATATATATATATATATATATATATATATATATATATATATATATATATATATATATATATTTAAATGAAGTTAATTGATTTTGTAATTTGTATGTATGTAGTTATAGGTTTTTGCTTTCCTATATCTTTTAGTATTTTTTGTTTACTGAAATTGTCATTGTTCATTCTTTCTTCAGAACTATGATGATTTTGAAGAGGCAGTTGAAAATAAATCCTTGAATGAGTTTCTGAAATCTGAAAACACAGCTTAAGAAAGGACCTTCTCAGCTACTCATAATAACCATGTCCACAAATGACAAGTTTTTCACAGTTTTGGGATCATAATCTTTTTATTTGGTCCTTCTTTATGAATAGAGGACTATGAAAGTAGTTTGTTGTCAATTTCTCAGACCTTTTCAGTACTGAACCCATACTTTTCTCATGTGTAAAATTACGAACCTGAGAAGAAGGAAGTTTTATTTTAAGTGTGTTTTTCCTAAGCTCAAACTGTATTAATTAGGAGGAAATGTGTAATTTTAATTAAGTTTGAACAACGGATCAACATCATGGCATACCGGTAGTAACCCATAAGCGCTCTGTTCTTCTTCTGAAGAAGCTGAGCTCAGTGCACAGGCTCTGTAGCACTGGCAAGGATCCTGAAATGCTTTGGGTCAATTTTTAACTCAAATTTTGACCACGCAGCGCTGTTAGCTACCCAGAGACCAGGGGGAATTATCAAAGTCCAGATCCAGGTTAAAGAATCCCAGCCCTTAACGGGGATTGAACCCTGAACCTCTATCACTCGAGGTGGACACCATGCCTCAAAACCAGGAGCTCCCTTTAATTTTCATTAAATTGTGTTTCAAGTTAGGAAAACTATTTCAGTTTCTAAAACCAAAATGCAGCAGTCTAGATGCATTTTTAACTATGTGGAATTATATGTACTAGAGTACAACATTGGATCCACATTAAACAAATCTAAAGATATTTATTGCGTTGAAAAGAGAAAGTAGAAGAGCATTTATTGTATTATTTAATGTATACTTGCATTTGAATTTGTACTTATTCGGTTTTGTTAATGATATATTGACCAGTTCAGTATTGTTTTTATTTTTTAAATTTAGTTGATCATACATAATTATGTTATGCAAATGACAGTAGGATGATTTCATATCCAAATGGGACATATATTTGCAGTTGTTTCAGAGTATCAGTTTTATCAAATATTCTTTGTACTATTTTATTTAGAATTATTGTTCTTGTGTTGTGTATCAGAGACAAATATCACATGTAACAGTTTTTCAGTCTTGTGGCATTCTGATGTTTCCACATTTGCCTGAATTTATCTATAAATTTTTAAACACGTGTAAGTATGTAAATGTTTGTTACCATTGTTATATTATTTGATTATGTAAAAGATCAGTACATGCAGTAATAAAGATATAAAAATGACCCGTAAAGTTTCTCAGTATGATGGTCTAAGTGCATTTTCCACACACAAGCTATAGAATCAACCCAGTAATGATTTTCATACTTTTAACCACAGGGACAGATCACTGATGTTCATCTCAGTGCACACTGAAAAAAATGCATACATGTGTTTGATCTATTTGCTTCAGTGCTACACCCACATGGACTGATCAGATAAGATTGTTGAACGTGTTAGCAGGATTCTTATTTCAACAAAAGCCCACTGAATGAATATTAAACTCCAGATTGAGAAATATAACTCTTTGAGGCCCGAGCAATGCTGTGCGTGTTGATTAAGAAGTTCCGATTTGCTCAGATAACACTGTCAGTGTCGATCCTGTGCCTCGTACATATTGATTCACACACTACTACCATTGAAGTATTCAGGAAAGGTTACTCTAACATTTTTCTTTGTATAGTAATATTTTTTCACTCACATGTGGTTGCAAACTGATTTCATTCATTGCTAGCATCATTTCCCGACAGTGCATTTTGTAATTTTGTGTTCCACGCCATCGATACCAATGTTCTAACAGAACAGCCACAGAATGTGTCTTTCTGCAGCTGAAGCTCTGAAATTGTTTCAACTGCATGTTTTTAATTCTGATATGATAATAACAATTTGGATTTTTCTGTAAGTGAACCAGATGATGAATTTAAACCAGTGGTAGCTGAGCGATCAGCAGTTACGGAATCTAGCAATTCTGATGTTTGACACAGAGAATTTTCCATTGCTACTGTATTTAGAGTGTAAGAGAAGGAAGGTGCTCCAAACATATAGTCAGTACCATACTATGGCTACATTAAAATCATTGCAGCTGCAGTCTGTATACAACAGAACAAAGTAAATAGTATGTGTATAATAGTCCATTTTCTACTATTTTGTTCTGAAATTTGATCAGCACTCTGCAAGAACTTAGAGCCTCTGAGTACTAAACTAACCCATAAACCTATCATAACTTTGGAATTTGTTGGTAACTTGAACAAACTTTAAAGTATTGCTTTTCTTAAATTTGGAAATTTGCTGCTCTTGTGGCTGCAAAACCATGGTTAGTGAAGAATTGTTTCGAAAAAATTTGCTTTTGTAAACTTCAACACCTGCCAATTTGTTTTTCCTACTAACTATAAGAGTATGAAACATTCACATATCAGATTCAAAATGTACATTCATTACTCATTACAAATATGTATACTTTTGTACAGATTAGAGATTAAAAGGAAATTAATGTGAGCCAAGTCTGTCAAAATGCATGGGCCTGAAAGAGTTAAGGGACTCCAAGAAATCAATGCTTACATTGAAAGCTCACCTAATGGTATAATCATGGGTGACAACATGAAGAGCTCACCTGATGGTATAACCATGGGTGAGAACAAGAAGAGCTAACCTGATGGTATAACCATGGGTGACAGCAAGAAGAGCTCACATGATGGTATAACTACGAATGATAGCAAGAAATAATGGAATCAAAAAGTGTCACATTCCAGCTGAATCTCTGACAGCTAAATATAAATGCCTAATTGTCATTACAGCTTTCACCATCCTGTGCACAACTTTGACATTTGAACTACTATTTATATCATTTATTCAGCCAAGTGGTGAAGTTTCTAATCATGTCACTGAACTGTTCCAGATTTGGACTTCCGGTGTAAACAGCCACAATGGCGGCACGCTTTTTCGTCCGTTGAGGCGAATGGCGCAAATTAACTATTTTCGCTCACGTATAATGTGAAAGTTTCATCGGAATGGGGTCTGAACCGTGCAATGGAGTACATGCACGTGAGTTCAGACTTCCCTCAGGGTGTATTCAACGTCCGATGGCGACTATCTACCAATTCAAAACAACCCGTAGACGGACAAGGAGAACGCGAACAGGCAAGCACGGTGGCGCTTGCAGGAAGCGACTGAAATGTGAGAGACTCAGCTTAAAGTATGTTCGCGTTCTCTACTGGAACTGCGCCTCGTTCAGTCAACGCCGACCCATTTTCGAGAAGCTCCTCTACAGCAACGACATTGTTGTCCTACAGGAAACACACCTCGGTGACGAGATGGTTAAAATTGCGGGCTTCCAATCCTTCTACAATAGACGGCACCTCGGACAGCTCATTCTTGTTCGTGACCACATACTGGTGTCTGAGGTGGACATGTCTGAGTGGGATAATGACGACCTACAAGTACACGCAGTCAGAGTGATGGGCCCGGCCCAGTTTGTGATTGTCAATGTGTACGCCTGCAATGGAAAGGTGGATACAGCGAAATGGCAGAGTTTGCTCCAGACTGAGGAAAAGAAAGTCCTTTACTGCGGAGATTTCAACGCTAGAGGAAACCAGTGGGGCAATGTAATCACCAATAAACAGGGGGAAGACCTGGAGGATGCTCTAGTGTCTGCCGATCTAGTATGCTTGAACGACGGAAAGGTTACCCGAATGGCAACCCGACAAGGGGATTCTAACAGCGTAATTGACCTGGCCCTAGTGTCTCCCTCCATTGCACCAGGATGCAGGTGGAGCACACTGGGATACCATGACAGTGATCACTTTCCTTGCGTCGTCCTGGTGGAGAAGAGCAACAACAAAGGTCATATAATCAATGTGCCTGCTTTTATATATGACCGTACAGGGCATGATGCCATTAGCAAAATCAGACGACGTAATACAAGAGCAGATCGCAGACGGCGGGAGAGATGGGCCCAGCCACCATGGTGGAATGAAGTAGTCAACATAGCGTGGCTAGAAAAAAGGAATGCTGTCAAGGCATGGCAAAAGGCAAGGAAAATTGATCCGTCACTTTCTGAACGCCTGATCAGTCTGAAAGATGAGGTCAACAAGCGGACAGTGGCTTTCAAGTTAATTGCGAAAGAAGCCAAGACAGCGAAATGGAACGAATTCTGCAAGAGCGTTTGCTCCGAGGGATCTCTTGTGACATTCTGGCGCCTTCAACGGAGCATGCACGGCGCCGCACGACCAAGGGGTATCCCTGATTTTCAGGGTACAGACCTGATATGGCAGAGAACTGATGCTGATAAAGGAAAAACCCTTCTTGCGCGCTACTTGGAGCAAACTGACCAAAAAGACGAAGCTGCAAGAATAGGGGTTAAGATGAAACTGTCGATGCTGTGCGAGAACACTGAGCTAGGCACTGATTTCACAATCACTGCAGACACCTTAAGAACTTGCCTCAAGAAATCGCACAGCACTGCTCCAGGCCCTGACGGCATCCGATACAATGACATGCTGATGATGTCGAATGCTGATTTGAAAAGCGTGGCAAAGGAATTCAATATCAGCATCCAGAGTGGCCAGGTACAAGAGGAATGGCTCCATAGTTATTTGTTCCCACTACCAAAGCTTAATAAAGACCACTCAAAGATCTGCGGCTACAGAATCATCTCGATGCAGAATACTGTTGGCAAACTTTTGGAAAAAATTGTCGCACAAAGATTGACCACCTACTTGGAACTACATGATAAGTTCCCATTAACACTTGGAGGGTACAGATTGAAGAAAGAGACATGGTCCAATGCTGCTGTTTTCGCCTATGATGTGTACGAGGGATTTCAGATTAAAGAAGAGACATGTGCGGCAGTGTTAGACTTAGAAGATGCCTACAATAAAGTACCATATGATTATTTAATGCAATTACTGCTTAAACTAGAAGTCAATCCTATTCTGATCCGCTGGATTGCTGCGGTCCTGCTCCAGAGAAAGATTGTACTAAGATGTGGTAGCTGGTCCTCAGAACCGCAAACGATATGTCCAGGCTTGCCACAGGGATCACCGCTATCACCAGTCTTATTCAACGTTT